TTGTGTCAGCATGCCTAGGAGAAAATCTTCATCGTGTCTTTGGTGTGTTGTATAATGAATCTCCTTGTGGTTCTCCAAGGGATGTGTTTCCACTCCCAGTGGTAACATAGGAGTAGGACAAATGGTTAGGGTGAGCATTAGTGGTTAACTGACAATGAGAAGACTGCATGATATTGATGCCACAGTTCTGATTCTCTGGCAATGCTCTCATTGTTACTTTGTGCACATTTTTCTTTATGGTGATCTGTTATGCGTCAACTGTGTTATGGATTTTTGTCATCGTTTTTCTTATTCTGAAACACATCTAGCCATACCTGTTGCGCTGAACTACATCCACACATAGCAAATTCTGTCCTTGTATTTCTCAATGGAGCTCATTGTTTTTCATTATTATAACTTCATTTTGGGGTAGTTCGGTGAATATTCTGATTTCTGAATCTAGTCATGGATGTCTTACTTCAAATCGTAGTAAAACAATTATTTTTTGCTTTCTTTCCAGCTATGGTGCTGTATTGGAGAATCTACAATCAAGAGCTGACCTAACTGAGAGAATAAGAGGATGTATTGTAGACTCTGCACCAGTTCTAGAGATAAGACCAGAGGTTCGTGTACCTGTCTGTTTTTTCTTACTGGATCAAGTATACAATTACAATAGAGTTTTAACTTGCTAGGTGAAAATGTTCCAAGGTCCTCCATACATTAACAAGTAGATATTTTCTATCTTGGTCATTTTTGTATCCAGTATTGTGGTTGCCTATGGTTTCATTCTATGCAATTAAGCTTGTTTGCCTGGAAGTTCTCATTTTTATGTTAAACTCAGGTCTGGGCGGCTGGGTTCTCTGCTGCAATGTTAAAGAAAAGTAGTTCCATGACAGAACCTACAGCTGAATCTCTTGATGGGCCTGTAAATGGCACCTTGAACAAAGTTATCTCTAATGTGACGCAACCTTCATGGGGTGAATGCTTTCTTCTGTCAACTCTGCAGAAATTCTTTGAGATTGTTCTTTATGTACCTGATGTAAACAAGTAAGTGCAATTACCGTTCTCAATCACTGCTCTGCTTAAGTGCCATGAACTGCCAGCCAGCACTCATAAACTATATTAGTTATTTTCTTTTTGGGTGGGAGCGCGCCGGGGTGGGTGGGTGTTTGTGGGGGAATATTTAAATGCGATCTCAAATCCTCAGAAGACTCACCATACCAAAACCCAGAAGTTTTATTTTTAAGAGGAGAACAAGTGTGTATCAATTGTTGAAACAAACATAAAAAAGGCCAAAGGGGCAATAAGAAATGTTGTCAAAAGAATGATAGAAGACTAGTAACAGAGAGAGGGCTATTCTTTGTGTTAGAGGGTGTTTGAATACATTAGCAGCTAATAACTCCCAGCTATTTAACTGGCTAACTATTAGCTGCGAGGTGGTTGGATTCCACTAGCTAATAGGTGGTTGAAGTGTTGTTTTACCCAAAAAAAAAATATTTCTTTTCTACTGTTTCCTAGCTAAAATACTTATTCGTTGGTGGGAGGGCATTTCGGTTAATTGACTACTAATTTGCTGCTACTAGCTAGGTTTGCGCAGCTAATGAGATAATTTTTTGCTAGGTGCCCACCTAACAGTTGGTTGATCTATTATCTGGACTGTTTAGATTCACCCTATCTCATGGTGTTCTTAGGAGTAACTATTAGCTTGTCGGATCCAAACAAGACCTAAGTCAAACTCATGGTGTTCTTTTCTTCCCTTTCTTTGTCCGCATTATTGTACACCTTATCTTCTTTTTCCACGGATCTACTACTGTAGGCCATTCTGTTATCTGATACAGTTGCTTGCCTGCTGATCATGTACAGGCGACTGTGCAGGACTCTCTTGGTTCTTTCGGAGAAGCAGCCTTCCTGCCCCCAGTTCTACCTTTACAGCTCAGCCGACCGAGTCATACCGGCGGAGTGTGTGGAGAGCTTCATGGACTCGCAGAGATCCCTAGGGCGCAGCGTGTTCGCCCACAACTTTGTCTCGTCGCCCCACGTCGACCACTACCGGAGCTTCCCCCACGTGTACTCCGCCAAGATCGACGAGTTCCTGAAGATCTGCTCCACGGTCAAAGTGTCGTGACCAGCCTTCGATCTGACTAACAAGCAGGCCCGTTGAACAGCTATCTGAATTGATTTGGTTTGGTGTGTTCTCAGAGCGTAGCCGCAGCTCCATCGCCCTGATGAGAGGTACCTGTAATTCGTTGAATACCTTGGTTTGACTCCTGCTAAGCCCTGGACTCCTGGAGGATCCACTGGATGCGCGCATTGGAAGGATTAGATGTTGAGCTAGAATTTTTGCGCTCCATTTTTGTTCATCCTTGTTCTGAGAATGGATAGATATTTGGTTCCCCACTCTGAATTTGATTGTACCCTAATTCTTTTGAACGCGAGTTGTATTGGCCCCGTTCGGCTTGCTGAAACTTGGCTGAAAAACACTGTTCTGGCTGAATTGTTGTGAGAGAAAAATACTGTTCTGGCTGAAAAAACAAGCTGAATAGTGTGGATTATAAGGTAAGCCGAACGGGGCCATAATATTCGGACGCCTAAGTTGTTTGCTGTGAAGTCCTATAGTGTCGGTACAGAAAGTGATCAACTAGTAAATATTTATAGTTTTATCGTACGTTGTGATCGGAAGTGGCCTAGCACTCAATGGCACAGGGTTTATACTAGTTCAGGCAATGTGCCCTACGTCCCGTTCGAGTCGGTCAGTGACTTTATTTCTGAGCCCAGGTGCTTAAAGTTTGCAGTGGGATTATAAACGAGAAGGAGAAAGATGGGGTGTACAAGAGGTCCGGTCGGCTCTGGTCAGAACGGTCGAGAGCGACAGGAGCTGCGCTATGAGCTAAGTGTTCAAGCGTGTGCTTGCGGTCCGAATCCGGCGGTTCTGTGGTTGTGAGCTAGTGAACTTGACCGATGTTGATTAACTAAAAAGAGGGCTCTGATCAACTTGGATCATGTTGGAGGGAGCGCATCCCCTTTTATAGATGAAGGGGGTGGCCTTACAAGTGAGAGGGAGAGAGTTCGAATGCTTCTAAGCCTTGTTGGCCACGTCGACGGGTACAGGATGATGGTAGGCGACCACAACACTGTTGGATGTCAGATGCACATGGGAGGTTCCGTCGTCTTGTTTGGGTATGGCGGATGTCGGTATCTGCATACACTATTGATGCCCAAAGGCATGTGAGGAGTTTCACCATGTGCACTTAGTACGGTAAATCCCGGCGCCCACAACACTGTCGATGCCCAGAGGCATGTGGGGGGAGCCTTACCGTATGGGAGTTTAATGGCGCCCACAATACTATAGGGGAAATGTAGGCGCCTACAACACTGTTTGTGTTAGGGCGGTTGCAGAGTATTGTTCCTGCAGGCGTACAGGGTATGGTCCCTGGTATCGTGGTTTGACTTGTGCGTCTTGCCCTGCTTTCTCCGCACGTCTCCTGGTCCCTACCGAACGGGTGTCCCTGGTCGGTTGATCCCAGTCGGCTCTGATCGTGCCCGTCGGAGAAGAGCGGTGAGCAGAGGCTGGGCGTATCCCCGATCGGAGAGTGCGGGGTCGGAGTCGGAAGCAGTGCTTTTGGCCAGGCCTTCCGGTCGAAGAGGCCGTCCGGAGGCGGGCTGGTGACCGAAGCGAGCGCTCCGGTCGGAGAGGTGGGCCGGAGTTGGAAAACGGGCGTTGTTCCTCCTCGGCCTGACCTTCTGATTGGAGATTGGATCACTCCCTCGGCCTGTCGCTCCGATACTTGGGCCAGCCCATGAGTTGTGCGTTATCAGTTTGGGCCGAGCCTTTGTTTGGGAAGCCGGTCCCCGAGAGACTCCGGGTTTATGAACGCGACACATAACATCTGAACTATGAAGTTATATTAAGGCAACGTGTGCTTATGTTCCCATCATTATATATGGTACTGTGGCTTCACCTCAATGCAATCGTGGTGGAGCACGCTGCATCCATCCCGCCGTGTCTGTTCATAGAACTGATTATCTCTGAGCTTTTGCCATGCCCTAACGGCTGCATCCATCCCGCCGTGTCTGTTCACAGAACTAAGGCCTTGTTTATTTTCTTACCTAAAGTTGAGTTTCTATCCCATTAGATAGATGTTTGACACATGTGTGGAGTATTAAATATAGATAAAAAATAACTAATTACATAGATTGCGACTAATTTGTGAGACGAATTTTTTAAGCCTAATTGATCCATGGTTTGACAATGTGGTGCTACACTAAAGCTACAATGCCATATGCTAATGATAAATTAATTAGGCTTAATAAATTCGTCTCACGGAGTACTGAGGACTTCTGTAATTTGTTTTATTATTACTATTCGAACACTTCCACGTGACACATCGGTGTGACCTCTTAAACTTTAGCTCTGGATTTAAACGAAGACTAATTATCTCTAAGCTTTTGCCATCTTTTGCCATGTCGTAACGTGAGAACAAGGTTGCCGTTTCATCTGCGAACGAGATTCCATCTCTGCTCGCTGCCAGGTTTTAGTGCCAGAATCACATTCTTTGGCCTGGAGCAGCAGCACCACCTAACAGCCTACCGCTAGCCTCTTGGGCTGGCGTCGTCTGGCGGCGAGCGGCGAGCGGCGAGGTCGAGGCTAGTCTACAGTCGATTTCGCCGAGACTTTTTTTTAATCATCGACGGGTCGTTTCACCGTGACTTTGTCACTGACGAGGCCGGTGTGTAGATTTCGCCGTGACTTTGGCAGTCACGAGTCGATTTCACCGTGCCTATATTACCGACGACGAGTCGACGAGTAGAACCGGACCTTTGTTACCGACGAGGAGTCGGAAACCAGACCCACCTATCAGTGCCAAAGTCAAACAGGAGTACAGGACTAGCAGAGGAGCCTCAAAACCGGGGCGCACCCGCGACGCCACTGACCAACTAGCCAAAACCAACCGCCGCCCGCCCGCCCGCGCCTGTTTGTTCGCTAGGCGCACGCGCTGCCGACTCGGAGACGCGCGCACGCCATGGCTATGGAGGAGGGATCAGGAGCAGTAGAGAAAGGGCCGGCCGTGGGCACGGTGGCTGACGCCTCTGCCGCCGCCGCCGCCGCCGCAGCCGTCGGCCGCGGCGGCGACGGGAAGGAGGAGACCGAGGGGAGACGGCCGGCCCCGGCTGCCTACGCGGCCGTCGTGATCGGGGGCACCTTCGACCGGCTGCACCAGGGCCACCATCTCTTCTTGAAGGTACGGTGCGGGCAACAAGGACTCTACTCTCGCCCTGTACATGCTTCTTCATCTCCTCTGCTCTGCTCTGCCCTGCCTCTCGCGTTACTTTCGCCGCCCACCCAATGGACGGATGCTGCGTCTGTTCTTGTGTGTGCTCTGTGGAATCCAATCATGTTTGTGGTCTCCTCACCCTTGGCGTCGTATCTTTCTGCCTGCGTGTGCGTCAGTTCCAACTTCGAGGTGTTAAAACCTCAGTTGATCCTTTGATTCCTGCTTTCTTTCTGATGATCGGTGGTTGAGCTTGAGCCCCCATGGAAGAACACAACTTCGTCTCCTCTTTTTTTAGTTTGGTTTTGTTTATTAGTTTATTATAAAAGAAATGAACGACGATGATTTTCTCTCGGTCCCATTCTCTTCTAATGAAACATAAATAATGTTTGTGAGTTGTGACAGGCAGCAGCGGAGCTGGCGAGGGAGAGGATTGTGATCGGCGTCTGCGACGGCCCGATGCTCGCCAACAAACAGGTCAGCTTTCGCGTCATCATTGGTCGATGCATCATTCACTAGTAAAACAAAGCTCGCTTCTACTCCAATTCCAAAGGCAGCGATCGCACTTGCTTCTACGCTAATAAAACCCTGACCATCGTGTTACTGCTGTAGCTGATGCCACAGCAACATCAGCTTTTTAACGTATCAACTCATACCCAGCTGCGTGCTTCAAATGATCCCAAATATACACTCCTTCTGTTCTAAATTATAAGTCGTTTGTAATTTCAATTTGGAACGAAGGGAGTAGTAGCATAGTTTGTAGTTCCAAACTAGAGGACTTTATTTGGGTATGCCGTTCCAAGATTATAGAGGGCAAAAGTGTTACTAACTATAGCACAACAGCCAATGAGCACAATGGAGCATGGTGGGCTGACAAGTAATCTAGTGCAATCAGAGACGGAGAGACACCACAGGACACCACAGGAATAGGTCGATATCAAACAGTAAAACCATGTCATTATCAATATAATAATGGGCCCGTTCGCTTGTCTGAATTCTGGAGGAATCTGGATGGTTTGGAGGAATGCTGGAGGAATTTGTGAGAGAAAAACACTGTTCCGGATGAAAAAAATAAGCGGATCAAGCCGGGTTTAAAGGCACGCGAACGGGGCCAATGGCCTGATCAGTATTTCAGGTGGGGAGTTCTACTGATTCACAATTGTATGCAAGTTCATTGAACATGGACAGGTTTCAAATTTGATGGCTACCTCTCACAAGTTTGGTAGGGGCCTGGGTGGTTAACCAATAACCACTGGTTGAATTGAACGGCATATTCCCGTTCAAAGTATGCATGTGAGCTGCATATGTGGTCATGCAGTTGAAGAATCTAGACTTTTATTATGAGTAGAGGAGGAGTCTGATGGCATCTTTCGCTTTGGCTGCTTTGTTCCTTGCAGTATGCCTACCTGATACAACCAATCGAGAAGCGGATGCAAAATGTCAAGGATTATATTAAGGTATCCCCCCTGAGCCAGTAAACATTTCTTATACCAGTTGGCTTGGATGCAACTCCATGTACATGTACATCAATGGGCACCCTTAACCTGCATGTATTGGAAATCAAACAATTTATTGTTAGTGTATCTTGACATGCAGATTTATTTTATTTTATTTTTTGAAGAAAATTGCATGTAGGGTTGTAAACGGGTGGGAATTTTTATTTATCCTACCAGTTTCTCTGTATTTCGGAAAAAAAAAATGAAAACAGGGCAGTAACTTGGATTAGTGGGATGTGATGAACTGGAGCTGGACAGAAAATAGGTGATGGTGTTTCCTGCCTGTTTTTAGGTGGTGGGAAAAAAAAAAACTAACCAGTGTTCATTCCAGTGACAATTCCCTAGGAGATGTACTACGTGAGGGCCCAAGCCCAACGCCACTACCCGCTGGGCCAAGAGGAACTACTCTGCTGCAGTGCTGCTGGCCCAGCATTAGAGTTAGTTCTGGTTATAGATGCCAAACAGAACTAAACATGGACTAATCACGGACGAGCTAATAGGGGCTAATTGGTGCTTAGAACCTATTAGAAAAATAGCCCATGATTTGTCCATGTTTAGCCTCTTATTATGCTATTGGTGGATTGATTTTTAGTTTGGCGATCCAAACGTGCCCTAAAGTTGTTTCGTTCCCCAGTGATAAAATATGGACACGGAAATGGTTGAGTTGCTTCCATCCATATTTACAAGACTATGTTAAAGGATTCATGCACATAGGGTGCCTTTATGCTATAGTACTATGATGCAGCTGTGTTCAACTTAACAAATTGCCATGACAATAGAAACAGGGTTCGTGCAAATCAACTAACTTTCTATTTGCAGTCCATAAAGCCTGACCTTGATGTTCATGTGGAGCCGATCGTGGACCCTTACGGACCCTCCATCGTTGACCAAGGTCTTGAGGCCATCGTTGTCAGGTTAGGATGTTCTTGCCCTACATTTTTCTGATACAGGAATATTTGTTCAGCAGCAATACTCTAGTACGTAAATCTTTAGGCTGATGTTGATTGTCTGCAAATCTTGGGGGCAGCAAGGAGACACTGCCAGGAGGACACGCTGTCAACAGGAAGAGAGCAGAGAGAGGGCTCACTCAGTTACAGGTTTGGTTACTGGTTAGGAAAAAAACCTACACATTATCGGAATCCAGAGTCAGGACATCTCATGGTTTAAAATCTTGCAGATCGAGGTGGTAGAGCTGGTACCAGAGGAATGGACTGGGAATAAGATAAGCTCCACAGCATTCAGAAAGATTGAAGCAGAGAGAGAATTGCAGCAACAGAACAAGCAGCAAGAGACTATAATAGGCAGTCCAATCGGGATGCAAAACATAGCAGCTACGTCATATGGAGCAGAATGACGAGCTGCAATTCTGTACCTGCACTCTTTTTTATTCATATATGAAACTTTGAGCTACAAAAGCCAAAATGTTCTGCTTTACATAGAAAAGGAATGCTCTGCTCGATCATGTAACGCTCAATACAGAAAAGTTACAGTTTCTTTACATAATCAGATCGAAGGATAATCTACCATTGAGAAACTAAGAAATACCGAGCACAGCTGAAGTGTTCAACTGAGACTCACAGAGAGACCATCAAGCAATACATAACCGTCTTTGCAGCTTTTGTCGTCCCCCAACTCATGCTTAGGCTTGTAAGAAAACGGCAGGGCATGATGTGGACCATGGAATCAAGAATCACACTTCTTTCAAATTGTTGAAACTTGTACAAATCAGAATTGGAGTCTTGGGACTTAATTTATAGAATATTAATAAAAAATAAATAAGAATGAGCTCAGACTTCAAAATCAGGTTGAAACCATAACTGTAATTCGAAACAGAATATGACAACAGCCCCAATGCGTGTTTTTATTTGCTTTATTATACAAGCAATAAATTGGTGATGCAGTAGAAACAGTTGGCAAATTCTGACTGATATTTAACAAACATAGCAAAAGACACATTTAGTAACAATAGAACCGGCAAGAAAAAGATTTAATGAACTATTCAATGAAACAGGCTTGAGAGCAGTGGTCCTCAGACATCCAAGGAAGGATTTTGCAGCATTAGCTCTCAAGCCTGGCAGGGCGAAAGCTCTTGGGCGGCAACTGCGAATGTAGAGAAACAAGCCATGATTTTGTCATCATAGGACACCACTGCTCAGAAATCAAGTCACATAAACAAACAAATGGAGGAAACATCTGTAGGAAAAAACCAAACATGAGAGTATTGCATTGCATCAGACATCCAAGGAAGGAATTAGCAGCACTAGCTCTCAAGCCTGGCAAGGCGAAAGCTCTTAGGCGGCAACTGCGAATGTAGAGAAACAAGCCTTGACTTCTTCATCATTTGCATGCACAACAACTAATAAAACAACCTGAAGATTGAAGAGCTGGACAAGAACAGATATGGCTCAGACATCCAAGGAAGGATTTAACAGCACAAGCTCTCAAGCCTGGCAGGGCGAAAGCTCTTAGGCGGCTACTGCGAATGTTGAGAAACGAGCCTTATCTTTGTCATCATTGCCATATGCATAAAGTAGACAACAAAATAAACTAAAAGCAAAGCATTAACAATAATTATAATAAAGATATGAATGTAATCACAGAAACCGGCTCTGTGGACAGATAGAGAAGCCGTCCCCAGGTTCCTATCAACATGTGAAACGTTGAAACAACTTTGTATTGGCCTAATCATAGCATCTCAAGTCAAAGCTCGTAGCTACCAGAGACGTGGCATCAGGCCCAAACTACTTCAGCAATGACATCAAGATCTAGACTAGCAGAATACAAACGAACAAAATAAAACACAGTGGCAGTTCTGTAGAATCCCTCAGAGACCCGATTTAAATCACACACCACAGCTGAAACAAACAGATACAGATGGGAGCTCCAGCCAGACCAAACCACAAAGGTTAAGGATGGACCACCTGCAGCTGAGTGAAGCAGCTGCTGTTTACAGTGTCAAACGGCACTTCCTATCGGTAGGTCTTGACATCCTCACAGGGACTACATTGCTGAACTACCTTATGACAGCTACATATCTTCCAAAATAAGACGTGATTTCAAACATATTTCAGCATCATCAGAAAAGTTGCCTTCTCATTCACAGCACGCTGTGTCAGAAGGTGTCCTAAGATTGTTTCGAGTTTTCATCATCTGATACTAGACACAAAAGATGCATTTACAAGCACCAAACGACAAAACGACGAATGCAAAATCACTATTTGAGTGCATGATGAGCTCTGCTCAACGAAGGGCATATCAACAATAGCAAGCTAAAATTGACGAGCTCAGAGAGTTGCTAATCTGCTCAAGGAAGGGACTAGTCCCTTCTCATACAAGAGGTGTCAGAAATAAGCAATAACTCGTCACCGCACAATAAGCCTAATCTAAAATAGTAAAAAGCCATATGAACCGATCTCACGAATTCTTAATCAGATGCTAACATACGCAGCAAAGGGCCAAGTTAGCTCAGGAAAAATACAGCTAGGGAGGAGCTCAGAGAGTTGCTGAATCTGCTCAACGAAGGGAACATAATCCCTGCTCATACAAGAGGTGTCAGAAGAAAGCAGTGCTCATCACAGCTACCACTACTACCATATATCGTAACATGGCTCTGATGAATAAAAACGAAACCCAGGCCCGCAAGCATTCTAGTTCTACCTATCCAGCACGCTGCAATCAAATTCACAACAAACCGGATTCATGACCCACGGCACGCAAGGCCGGAAGACCACCGCCGGACGACCGAGGCGATTAGATCGCGACCAGCGCGAGGCGGATGGGAGGAGTCACCGCGCAGCGAAGGGCTAGGAGGCCTAGGGCGATCGCGAGGGCTCGAGTAGGTGGCGGTGGCGGTGGCGGCGCGAGGCTTAAACCCTAGCGAGCCAGGTGAGCGCTGAGAAGAAGGCGCGGCCACGGCCGAGTTATAAAGACGAGGAGGGTGTGGGATTGGGACTGGGCTGGGCCGGGCCGATGTCAAAGCAAATAGGAATGCGAGCCGTGGGCCTTCCGAAAAGCCTGGCCCAGTGATTCTTTTCGCTGCTTAGCCCGCCTAGCTAACAGCGTTGACCGTATCCTCCTACAGGCTGCTGCAATGCAAGGCCGTTCACCTCGTCAAATCAAAGAGAAAGGGAATAAAATCAATACCCGCTTTATATAACCGTTCAACTCTGAACCTAATCTACTTGAAGATTAGTAAGGTCAACGTTCTAGAAGACGGCTGGATCAGGAATGGTTCCAATTCCAACCTTTAGCTTGTTCTACAATTTTTTCTTTCTCTGTTTTTTTTATGACGAGGAGCGTCTCGTTTGTTGGATTAGATCATCTTTAATCACACTCTTGCCCTGCTTCGAATATTCGAACTCAACTAACTGTTGGTGAACAAAGGTGGGTTTTTTCAGCGAAGAAATTCCATTCATTAGTACTCTAGTATGTCGCAAAACAGCTCTTACTCAGAAAACGCGGTTTACAATATGAAAACACTTTTTTGAACAACGAATTGGAAGTGAATTTCGCTAGAGAACAGAGAACACTTTTTTGAACACCTGATATTCGTCCACAACAACTCCAGTCAATGCACAAAGAACGCACATGTCTGAAACTGAAACAGGCTGCTACGTGCGTGCGTGCGTGCGTACGCAGCATCAGAGGAGAAGCTTCTCCTCCTGATGCGATGCAAGCGGCGACGATTCAGCTGCTCCAAGCAGCCAGCGTCTGAGTTTGACTCGGCCGACGATGACCAATCAATCGCAGAACGATCGATGAACAGTTGCTTATCCAAGATGAAGCAGGTCGCTTTCGCTAACCAACACGGTCGCGGAACTAATAATAAATCACATCGATGATGACGAAGTGTATTGTATACGACGTATTCAGAGTCAACAATGGCGCGCAATTCTTTTTTTGTATTCACAAGATCGGAATGCACGGCGAAAGAACAGTTGATGAACAAATTGGATGGAAATGGAATTAACCATAGCTGCTAGGTATTTACTATGAACGAAAGAATCTTTTTTCTTCGGAGATCAGCTTGGTGGTGATCGCCGGCGGCGGGCAGCTACGCTAAGGTAAGCTAGTAGGGGTGGTGCGAGCGGCCGAGCGCGTGCGTGGTGGCGAAGAAGCCGACGATGCCGGGGCGGTAGGGGAGGTACGACTGCTGCTGCCTTGTCCTGTCGCCGGCGAGCGCGGCGGCGGCGCCGGGCTTGCCGTAGAAGAGCCTGTGCGCGGTGGCCATGTCCATCTCGGTGGCACCTGCCGCCTTGCCGCCCTTCTGCTTCTTGCCCTGCTTCTGGACGGACGGCTTCGACGGCGCTGCTGCGGCGGTGGGTTTGGAACTGGGTTGCAGGAAGACGAACTTCTCCTTGCCGTCGCTGTGGGAGCGGCCACCGCCGCCGGAAACGAGGTCGCGCAGGCGCCAGAAGCGGCGGGCCTCCCCGGTGGAGGATGACTTGGGGAACGCCGCCGCGGCGGCCGGGGGGTCCCGCGACGGGGACCCCGGCGCGGACCGCGGCGCCCACGCGCAGTACGTGTCCGGCGACGGCGGCGCCGTCGACGCCTGCTGCTGCGGCCGGTTGTCGGGCGACGCCGCCGCCTCGTCGTGGTCCGCGAGGAGGTTGCGGCGGTCGAAGAGCGGGTAGGCCGCGACGATGCGGCCGTGCGCGAAGAGGTCGTCGGCCGGCGCGAGAGCGGGGTAGGCGCCGGCGCGCGGCGACAGCGGCGGCGCGAACGCGAACTCGAAGTCGGCATCCTCGGCGTCGGTGTCGCTGCCGCTGCCGGCGTCGGAGAAGGCGAGCGTGGCGGACTCGGCCTCGGCTGGCGAGGCCGGGGCGTCGCTGAAGCTGAGCACGGAGTCGAGCCGCGGGGCTTGGGGAGGTGGCGCCGCCGCCATTGCGGACATGGGGTAAGGGCGTGAGGCTGCTTGCTGGCTGGCTGCGTGCGATGGGTGCAAGTGGAGGTGGAGCTACTCCTCGTCTGGGGTGGTGGTCTCTGGTGGTGGTGGCGGTGGGAGAAGATGGTTGGGCGGCGGCGTTTATAAAGGGAGGGAATGCGCGTGAGACGCATGGGGCTGAGGCGACGGATCGGATGACGCGGGGGAGGGGGAGTGGGCCCCAAGCAAAAACGGAACGGAAAGCAGATAGCTGCCCGCGACTCATGAGCCGGTGGTAGATTTTCGTGGTGGTGTGGCGTCCAGTAGTGTGCGTGGGGAAGGGAGAAGAAGAAGATTCGACGGCGACGTGGACACGGTGAGATCCGTCCGAGAACGGCCGGACGGGGACGGTTGCTTGGACGGCAAGGAGAAGCAGCCAGGAAATGAACGGAAGCGCATGTGCGTGTACGAGTGGGAACGCGGAAAGGCCCTCTCCCGTGCGTGCGCAACGTTCCGCCCATTTCCGCTGGGCGGTGTATGTGTATGTCTGTATGACCACGTGGGGTCCACCCATTTCCTCGGGTCTTCCGGTCCGCCTCCGCGACCGCGGCACTGCTTCTTCGTGTCCAAGGCAAGGCTCTCCAACAGGGCAAGGCACTCGCCTGCTCTGCATGCTGCATGTCAACGGCTTCCTTTCGGTTGTCCGGCACTGCGGCTCCGCGTGTTTTTTCCGGTCTCGTTTCCCCCCCACGTGCGCGGCAGCAGCAGCACCCAGGCTTCACGTGTGTGTCATGTGTGACACTCCGCGCGCAAAATCGTGATGGTGAGAATAAAATCATCATTTTATTAAGAGCAAATTTGCTCGTAGACATCTTTTCGTTGTGGCATTTGTCGACGGACGTCGTTCGATTTTATCTTGTTCGTGTTCCATAGTCTTATACTCTGTACATACTGTTAAAAGGCTCGATATACACTTTTTTTTTACACATCCTACATATTATACGCAATCTTTTCTCCTTGTTGGCAGGCCCACGGGCTCATCATCCATTGATCGGCTGGGCCGGAAATACGGCAAGCCGGGAAGACAGAGGCCCATGCAAGTTTCGCTTCCTCGCTCCGAGTCAGGGACTCAGGAATCAGGAGGACAGGAGATCTAAAAAAACGGAGTCACGACAGGAGGGGAGGTCCTTGGGACCTTGGGCTAGTGGCCTGGCGCCGTCGTGTCACGCGTCTCTGGCTTTGGATGCCGCCCTCGCCTCGGCGTGCCGGCCAGGCAACCAATCTCAGCCGATTTTTTTTTTAAATTTTAACCTTTTTTTTTAATATAATTTTAAATCTAATACTATCGTTTTTTTAACTAACATTTTTGACTGCGCATATTGCTCTGACGCGGCCAAATGCCTGTGCCGCGCCATGCATGATGGCGCGGCAGAGGGTTGACGTGGCGAGGGCCGGCTGGGGACGGCCGGCGTGGCGGCTCTTATCATGCCACCGATCTTTGGCGGCGGTTGCGCTACCGATCCGTGGGATGGCAGACTATATATATACTGGCGTGCGAGCCCGCCGACCAAGACGCGCACTCCTTCCCCGCCCGCTTACGAAACGCCGCCATTGCGTCGCCAACGCCTTGACCGGACCGCCGCCACGCCACGCGCTGCCTGCCTCGCCAGCCTCGCGCTGCCGCGCCCGCCAGCCTCGGCCTCGGCTCGCCTGACCGCCAGCACGCCGCTCCCATGCTGCCGCCACTAGCCGACACGCCCGCCTCCTAAGGTACCTCCGTCTCGATTTCTTATTTTTTTATTATTATGTAGTATAGTTAATATTTTTTGTATTCCTAAGGTACCCCACGTGCCCTCGCAATCCTCGAGCGGCCGGCACAGAAGCAAAAGAGTTGATGAAATCTTAGAACGACTATTTTCATTTCTTTTTCTAGAAGCATCTAGGGGCATCGAGGTTATTTTCATTGAGTATTAGTGTCTCTGCGATATCTTAGAACGACTATTGTTATGTGACGGAGGAAGTACCTTTCGTAATAGGTACCATTACATACAGCCTGTTCGCTTACTCGTAAACGATCGTAAATTTCCAGCCGGGAACAGTGTTTTTCTCTCACACCAAACCAGCCAGCAGTAAATAATCCACGATACGATACGGCCTCCCGAACAGGCTGTATAATATGTACTATTACATTAAGCATGGAGTATACTTTCGGAATAAACTTATTAAGAGATACAAATATTGATACCGTTTGTTTTAGTTTTGATCAAACTTAAACATATTTGACTACTTGAGAAGTAAGATGTGTATTTATTTTGAGACGGAGGGATTACTTGTAATTTTGGAACCAAAGTTTTATATGGATTGATTATGTATTTATTATCTAGTATATTTAGAATTTTGGGTTTAGGGATTTAGGCTAGTTAGGTTAGTGAATTTGTTTGTGATTTGTTTGTGAACTTAGTAATGTTAACTTGAATTTTGTTAATTTGAATACTCTAACGCTTTGTTTATCAATTTATAAAAGGATGGCTCCTCTCACGCAGCACCCGTTGTACCCTATTTTTGAGTTGAAGTACGACGACCAGTACCGAGCACACATCTTGAGTGACAACGACGCAGGGGTGTCCTTGCCTCCTTTGAGGCCCCGCACGCACACCAGGACGCATCAGTGGGACGAGCGTTATACGCCGTACATACGGCGTGCCGGCTTCCTCGAGCTTGTCCGTGTTGTGAACCATGGTCTTCCGCCCCTTGACCCAGCACTACTTACTGCAGCTGTAGACAGGTGCGAGTGCATTATTTGTACATAAACTTCCTTGTAATAAATTTGAGGCAACTCATAGTCGTTCTATTCTTATAACAGGTGGAGGCCTGAGACCCACATGTTCCACCTACCTTGTAGCGAGATGACCATGACATTGCAGGACGTGAAGGCTATTTTAGGCCTTCGCTTGGAGGGACTTCCAGTGACAAGGATAGTTGACAACGATCATTGGAGGGAGCTGGTGGCTCAGTTTACTGGCTTTCTTCCACCGGACGACGATGCTTCTAAGAAAAATAAATGAGTAATTTCAAGCCTATTTAATACTTGTATTGTTTACAGCTGGCATCGGGTCTCATTTTCTTTGATCAATTACAGGAAAACTTCCGGTGTTTCGTCGTCCTGAATCACAGAGCGCTTTGATTACTTGGACCCACAAGCTGAGGAGGCTCAGATCGACAAGTTCGCTCGAGTGTGGCTCTGGCACTTTCTTGGTGCTTTCCTCTTCCCAGACGCCTGTAACAGAACCGAACAATTATACAAAATTAAGTAAGAAAATCATCCGCCAGAGCAGACGATTTAGCAAACTTAAGCCCGTATAACCCGGTAGTCCGTGAAATCACGAAGGATTTCAAACCAACTTCCATTCCAGCCAAGATCGTAATAAGTTTAGCGGTCACCATCACATATTACATAAAAGTTTGCATCTCAGATACATCAGAGTTTAAACATAGTTATTACAAAACAAGTTCGAATAAAAGTAGCGGAAGCCATTTGTTCAAACCACACACACTCACACGGAGTTCAAATATAGTGCCAGCAAATGATCATCTCCAACAAAAGCATTAGACGAGACGTAAGGAATGACCATGCCCATGGTCCTAAGCATCACCCATCGCATGATAAAGGCAGTTGATACAGTAGCCGTAATACATCTGCCCATCTGCAACAAGTGGGAATAAAACCCTGAGTACGAGAAGGTACTCAGCTAGACTTACCCGACATAACCGAAAATAAGTGACACCAAGGATTATGAAGGCTTTATAGTAGGGTAGCTGACTCATTTGCAAAGAAAGCATTTTTTATCATTTCAAGACTCTTTTCAAAAGCATTATTGTCAAGTTAATTGTTGTTAACCTGTCGACTAGATTTGCACCTATACTAGAGCAAACATGTGATTAAGCAGATAATGATAACCAATAATCATTAAACAACTTCTGTCGGGGACCTAATACCGAGGTACCCCAGAAGGTGGAACCAATAACCACCGAACGTTAAAATCTTCTGGACGCATAAGAGCATTGCTTCACCCCTCACGGGAATGACAGGAGCTTGGTTCCATCTCGCCCGACGCCTTTGGGGTGGGCTCGGTATCGCTCGAGGGCCGAGGATTAGTCTCCGTCTCGCCCGACGCCTTTTGGACGGGCTCGATCGCGTCCGAAGGCCGAGGGATAAACCCCGACTCGCCTGACGCCTTTGATGTGGCTCTGCCTTGCCCGAGGGCACAGGGCTAGTCTCCGTCTCGCCCGACGCCTTTAGGGCGGGCTCGGTCTCGCCCGAGGGCTAAGGGATAGACTCCGCCTCGCCTGACCCCAGAGGAGCAGGGTCGGTCTCGCCCAGGAGATAGGGATTGGTCTCTGCTTCGCCCGACGGCAAGGAACGAGCCTCACTTTGCTCCATATCTAAAGATTGGATTCATCTTACCTGACCACTTCTCCTGTTCCTTCAAGATGATAGAGACAGGGGCAAGACAAGATGTTGGTCAACCGTGGCTCCAAGAACCATACCTTGCACCACGGTAGGAAAAAAATCTTGCCAGGGGATGACGAGACAGGCGCTTTAGGCCCTTCCAGCGCCATGCAGAGCCCGAAAGGTGTCACGGTGCGAGCTCTCCACCACCTCAGAGTTGTAGGCGCCGCCTTCACTCTAGGACATGTAACCCGACGAAGATATCGACAACCACTACGCTCGAGAAAAGGATTTGCTATCTCCACGAATGACGGATATTCCGTCACACCACATTGTGGACCCAAGGGAGCGGCGCCCTCCCCGACCCCTCGGGTCCACCAAGACAGAAGACCTTGTCCACGGTGCTACTCCAAACCCCGACCCGCGTCCCTCCGGCGAAGACTCATAGGAACTGTATAGGCGTGCGGAGCAAAGGGTGGGAGGCCCAAAAGTCAAAACCATCATCTGCAGCCCATACCCCAAGTAGGTAGCATTCGTAACCAAACGACATTCTCAGAGAGGCAATGATGATTGTAGGCGC